AGCTTCCAGAGCGCACGCGGCAGCGTGCAGGGACCGACGTCGAGGCGAACAAAAGAACGAACGCCATGGGCCACGAGAGACCGACCCACGGCGGGCGGAGCCGACGAGCTTCGAGGCTGCGGAGTGCAGCGCAGGAAGGCAAGCGGCACGCCGTGCGGCAGCGCCTGTAACAGATCTTCGCAAGCCCGCCCTCTCACACTCATTACTTACACACCACTCCACCCACCTCCTCCTCCTCCCTCCCTCCCTCCCTCCCTCCCTCCCTCCCTCCCCCTCCCTCCTCCCTCCTCCTCCTCCTCCCTCCTCCCCCTTCTTCTCAGACTCAAGACTCAAGACCCATGGAATCCACATCATTACAAAAAGTTGGACAGGTATCCGACATGGACTCCTATCAGAAATCACTCGGGATTCTGGGAAGGTTAGTTACGCAACCGACGCAAGGCGATTCGAGGCCAGCTGCTCACCGCACGAGGGCGGCACTGGCCTGGCTGGCGACCCCAAGAGGCACCAACCCCCCACATAGGGGCCAGCACTCTCGGCACAGGTCTGAAAGTTAAGTTCCCTTCCCACCACCACCCCCACCGTCCGCCCCCCGCCCACCACGCCCCTTCTTTCCCTTGCCCTTAGCCTGGCTCCTATGTCCTCCTGTCCTCCTCCTCCTCCTCCTCCTCCTCCTCCTCCTCCTCCACCCACATCTACAAGCTACCCCTTCCCACGGAACTCCCTCCTACAATCATCGGCGAGGAAGTCGGGAGGACGGAAGCTGCAGCTCCGCTGGAGCCGCTCGCCTGGCAAGTGCAGCAACTGCACCGCCTGCGCGGGGACCCCGATAATTGATATCATTGGCCCTCAGGCTGCGTCGGGCCTCCAATCGGATGCGCCCCTCGGACTGAGACGGCGCACTTTGCCAAGCCAACACGTTTGCCCAATTATACAACTGGAAATCCGGGCTGGGGCAGAAAAAATGCAACTCATCAGAGATCTTAATTCATGGATGATCACGAGACGTCCAATAGATAGTGTATACTCACGCGTGACAACTCGAACTGGAACAATATAGCTCGGCCCAATTCGAATCCAACGTAGGTTCCGTTGTTGTCGCCCCACTTCGTTGACGAGGCTGGCTGATGCGTGAAATGAGATGCTTGACAAAAATTGAGCAAAAGGTGGGGCATGCCTATGCATGATCGGAAAATGTCGGACCCACAGAGCAGATACGATGGCATGTGCTCAGGCAGCTCTGCACACCACCAGGAAGAGGATCACGTGGCTGCCGTGTGAGCCCGAGCGGCAACCTCGCGGACGGGCATGCGGACCGTCGGCGCCAAGCCTGCGCGCAGACGCGGGTGCCCATCATGAGGAGGGGGCGCCCCTCGGTGGAGCTGAGCCGGGCCGCGAGAAGCAGGCGTGGGCCTTGGCCTTCCGGGCGGTCGACCGGGCCGCGGGGTTCATGGTCAGCAGGGAGCGGGCCAGGTCCATCCCGGCATCGCCGAGCTCTGGGCGCTGGTCGCGTATCGTCTTGAGGCCGGAGGGCGGCCAGCTCGGGCGCAGGGGGCTCCAGAGCGGCAGGCTGGTCTCGAAGCCTGGCCAGGTGGCCTCCGTGGGGGAGCCCAGCAGCTGCATGATCTTGAAGAGTGTGCCAATCTCGGAGTCCCCGGGGAATGTCGGGCAGCCAGTGGCGATCTCGGCAAGGACGCACCCCGCAGACCACATGTCCACCGGCAGGTCGCAGGTGGGATGCCCCAGCAGCAACTCTGGGCCACGATACCACAGGGTGACGACCTCCTGGGTGTAGCTCGCGACGGTGAGCGAGGCGAGGCGGGCCATGCCAAAGTCGCAGATCTTGAGGCCGTCCACGGGGTGGATGAGAACGTTCTGCGGCTTGAGGTCACGATGGATCACCATGCGCGTGTGGCACGCGTGGATCCCGTTGAGGAGATCTTGTGAATACCGCACGACCTTCTCCATGGGCAGCTGGGTGCCCTCCCTCCGGTAGCCCTTCAAAACCTGGTGCAGGTCGTCCTTGATGTACTCGAAGATCAGCTCGATCCCGTTGAGGCCGACGATCTGCAGATCCTTGAGCCGCACGATGTTCGGGTGGACGATATCGCGCAGCAGCGACACCTCGCGGATGACGCTCCCGGGCACGCCGTCCTGGCCAGCGCTGACCATCAATCGCTTGAGCGCCACCCTGCCGCCGGTCTCGCGGCCCCTCGCCATGAAGACCGTCCCGAAGGCCCCAGAGCCGAGCACGTGCACGGCCTCGTACCTCTGAAGGGGCCCTGGGACACACAAATAAATCCACACAAATAAAAGGATTCCCCACATTTTCATGTCTTTTCTGAGTTCTTGTCTCCCCCCCCCCACTTCCCATATTTTCCCACATTTTCCTGGGAGTGGACGATTCATTGTGTCTGTGTGTTTTTTCCCCCTCCTGAACCTCGTGGGCACCGAGGCGTCCGCCCCGCCCGGCCCGCGCGTGCCGGGCCGCGGCCCTGGCGCAGGCCTCCCCGCAGCCGCGCCGCGCGCCCCCGCGGCGCCAGCGGCCCCCGCCTCGCCGGCGGCGGCGCTGCCCGCGGGGGCGGCGCCACTCGTGTCCGCCGCGGTCGGCATGGCAGAGGCGCCCCCCGCGCAGAGCATGGGGCGTGCCGGGGGCGTCGTGTCCAAGCGGGCCGGAGCGAGCGTGGCTGGGCCAAGGAACAGTTCGAGCAGGATTTGAGCCAGAAGACCTTGGGCGGCGCAGACTCAGAGCACCATGCATCTTGACGTATTGGAAGAGGGCCGCAGAAGACCTCGGCGAGACATCCGCATTCTGGACGTCGCCCGTCGCTGTCCTCCCTGTCTCAGCTCATCGTGCCTCTGCCACCTCCTTCGCCCCGCTTCTCTCCGTCCTCCTCGTGGGACCCCGGGAGGCACGAGCTGCCCGAGGCGGAGGGGCGTCCTCCTTGCGCACGACAGCACGGCTGCCCCGCGCACCCACAGCGCAAACGCCCGATAACCCCGATCGGGGATCTCCTGACCCGGGTCAACCCAGACCTGGGTCAGCCAGGGCTTGCAGAATCCGGCACAATCCTGCAAGACCCTGCGCCCAAACCCGGGTCAATGCGAAGGATCCTGCAAGATCCTGCAGGATCCTGCACCCAAGCCCGGGTCAATGGGGGCCTGGCCCTGCAGGATCCCGCAGGATCTGGTGCCCTGGCTGACCCCCGTCTGCACTGAGCCCCGTCTCGAGGCTCCCGACCCGAGCCTTCACCGACTTCTGCGCAGATGCCCTGAGCCGTGTTTGTTGACGTCGGGCGGCCCTGACTCACCACGCGGTGCTGTGACCGCGCCAAGGCCCCCGAGCTGCCAACGAGCAGCGGTGAGTGGAGACCTTCTTTTTCCCGCGAATTCAAGCGCTCAGTTCCTAACTATACAGCAGTGTTCACCAGCATATACCCAGGCGCGTTGAAGAGAGCCGCCGCCAAGATATTGGGACAGCCTTCAAAGGGCCCTGGCCTCATGCTGGGCTTCTGTCGGACATCAGATATACGAAGGGGGATGAGGGGAGGAGGGGTGGGGGAGGCGGAGACGAGGACGAGACCGAAGACGAGGGAGTGGAGGGAATTCTCGAGCTGCGCAGCTGCTGGTTGAAACAACATTTGCTCGGACGCGGGCTAGAGTCAGGCGCTAGCTTCCAGAGCGCACGCGGCAGCGTGCAGGGACCGACGTCGAGGCGAACAAAAGAACGAACGCCATGGGCCACGAGAGACCGACCCACGGCGGGCGGAGCCGACGAGCTTCGAGGCTGCGGAGTGCAGCGCAGGAAGGCAAGCGGCACGCCGTGCGGCAGCGCCTGTAACAGATCTTCGCGAGCCCGCCCTCTCACACTCATTACTTACACACCGCTCCACCCACCTCCTCCTCCTCCTCCTCCTCCCTCCCCTCCTCCCTCCCTCCTCTTCCTTCCTCCTCCTCCCTTCTACTCAAGACTCAAGACCCATGGAATCCACATCATTACAAAACGTTGGACAGGTATCCGACATGGATGGACTATCAGAAATCACTCGGGATTCTGGGAAGGTTAGTTACGCAACCGACGCAAGGCGATTCGAGGCCAGCTGCTCACCGCACGAGGGCGGCACTGGCCTGGCTGGCGACCCCAAGAGGCACCAACCCCCCACATAGGGGCCAGCACTCTCGGCACAGGTCTGAAAGTTAAGTTCCCTTCCCACCACCACCCCCACCGTCCGCCCCCCGCCCACCACGCCCCTTCTTTCCCTTGCCCTTAGCCTGGCTCCTATGTCCTCCTGTCCTCCTCCTCCTCCTCCTCCTCCTCCTCCTCCTCCTCCTCCACCCACATCTACAAGCTACCCCTTCCCACGGAACTCCCTCCTACAATCATCGGCGAGGAAGTCGGGAGGACGGAAGCTGCAGCTCCGCTGGAGCCGCTCGCCTGGCAAGTGCAGCAACTGCACCGCCTGCGCGGGGACCCCGATAATTGATATCATTGGCCCTCAGGCTGCGTCGGGCCTCCAATCGGATGCGCCCCTCGGACTGAGACGGCGCACTTTGCCAAGCCAACACGTTTGCCCAATTATACAACTGGAAATCCGGGCTGGGGCAGAAAAAATGCAACTCATCAGAGATCTTAATTCATGGATGATCACGAGACGTCCAATAGATAGTGTATACTCACGCGTGACAACTCGAACTGGAACAATATAGCTCGGCCCAATTCGAATCCAACGTAGGTTCCGTTGTTGTCGCCCCACTTCGTTGACGAGGCTGGCTGATGCGTGAAATGAGATGCTTGACAACAATTGAGCAAAAGGTGGGGCATGCCTATGCATGATCGGAAAATGTTGGACCCACAGAGCAGATACGATGGCATGTGCTCAGGCAGCTCTGCACACCACCAGGAAGAGGATCACGTGGCTGCCGTGTGAGCCCGAGCGGCAACCTCGCGGACGGGCATGCGGACCGTCGGCGCCAAGCCTGCGCGCAGACGCGGGTGCCCATCATGAGGAGGGGGCGCCCCTCGGTGGAGCTGAGCCGGGCCGCGAGAAGCAGGCGTGGGCCTTGGCCTTCCGGGCGGTCGACCGGGCCGCGGGGTTCATGGTCAGCAGGGAGCGGGCCAGGTCCATCCCGGCATCGCCGAGCTCTGGGCGCTGGTCGCGTATCGTCTTGAGGCCGGAGGGCGGCCAGCTCGGGTACAGGGGGCTCCAGAGCGGCAGGCTAGTCTCGAAGCCTGGCCAGGTGGCCTCCGTGGGGGAGCCCAGCAGCTGCATGATCTTGAAGAGTGTGCCAATCTCGGAGTCCCCGGGGAATGTCGGGCAGCCAGTGGCGATCTCGGCAAGGACGCACCCCGCAGACCACATGTCCACCGGCAGGTCGTAGGTGGGATGCCCCAGCAGCAACTCTGGGCCACGATACCACAGGGTGACGACCTCCTGGGTGTAGCTCGTGACGGTGAGCGAGGCGAGGCGGGCCATGCCAAAGTCGCAGATCTTGAGGCCGTCCACGGGGTGGATGAGAACGTTCTGCGGCTTGAGGTCACGATGGATCACCATGCGCGTGTGGCACGCGTGGATCCCGTTGAGGAGATCTTGTGAATACCGCACGACCTTCTCCATGGGCAGCTGGGTGCCCTCCCTCCGGTAGCCCTTCAAAACCTGGTGCAGGTCGTCCTTGATGTACTCGAAGATCAGCTCGATCCCGTTGAGGCCGACGATCTGCAGATCCTTGAGCCGCACGATGTTCGGGTGGACGAGATCGCGCAGCAGCGACACCTCGCGGATGACGCTCCCGGGCACGCCGTCCTGGCCAACGCTGACCATCAATCGCTTGAGCGCCACCCTGCCGCCGGTCTCGCGGTCCCTCGCCATGAAAACCGCCCCGAAGGCCCCAGAGCCGAGCACGCGCACGGCCTCGTACCTCTGGAGGGGCCCTGGGACACACAAATAAATCCACACAAATAAAAGGATTCCCCACATTTTCATGTCTTTTCTGAGTTCTTGTCCCCCCCCCCCACTTCCCATATTTCCCCGCATTTTCCTGGGAGTGGACGATTCATTGTGTCTGTGTGTTTTTTCCCCCTCCTGAACCTCGTGGGCACCGAGGCGTCCGCCCCGCCCGGCCCGCGCGTGCCGGGCCGCGGCCCTGGCGCAGGCCTCCCCGCAGCCGCGCCGCGCGCCCCCGCGGCGCCAGCGGGCCCCGCCTCGCCGGCGGCGGCGCTGCCCGCGGGGGCGGCGCCACTCGTGTCCGCCGCGGTCGGCATGGCAGAGGCGTCCCCTGCGCAGAGCATGGGGCGTGCCGGGGGCGTCGTGTCCAAGCGGGCCGGAGCGAGCGTGGCCGGGCCAAGGAGCAGTTCGAGCAGGATTTGAGCCAGAAGACCTTGGGCGGCGCAGACCCAGAGCACCATGCATCTTGACGTATTGGAAGAGGGCCGCAGAAGACCTCGGCGAGACATCCGCATTCTGGACGTCGCCCGTCGCTGTCCTCCCTGTCTCAGCTCATCGTGCCTCTGCCACCTCCTTCGCCCCGCTTCTCTCCGTCCTCCTCGTGGGGCCCCGGGAGGCACGAGCTGCCCGAGGCGGAGGGGCGTCCTCCTTGCGCACGACAGCACGGCTGCCCCGCGCACCCACAGCGCAAACGCCCGAAAACCCCGGTCGGGGATCTCCTGACCCGGGTCGACCCAGACCTGGGTCAGCCAGGGCTTGCAGAATCCGGCAAAATCCTGCAAGACCCTGCACCCAAACCCGGGTCAATGCGAAGGATCCTGCAAGATCCTGCAGGATCCTGCACCCAAACCCGGGTCAATGGGAGCCTGGCCCTGCAGGATCTGGTGCCCTGGCTGACCCCCGTCTGCACTGACCCCCGTCTCGAGGCTCCCGACCCGAGCCCTCACCGACTTCTGCGCAGATGCCCTGAGCCGTGTTTGTTGACGTCGGGCGGCCCTGACTCACCACGCGGTGCTGTGACCGCGCCAAGGCCCCCGAGCTGCCAACGAGCAGCGGTGAGTGGAGACCTTCTTTTTCCCGCGAATTCAAGCGCTCAGTTCCTAACTATACAGCAGTGTTCACCAGCATATACCCAGGCGCGTTGAAGAGAGCCGCCGCCAAGATATTGGGACAGCCTTCAAAGGGCCCTGGCCTCATGCTGGGCTTCTGTCGGACATCAGATATACGAAGGAGGATAAGGGGAGGAGGGGTGGGGGAGGCGGAGACGAGGACGAGACCGAAGACGAGGGAGTGGAGGGAATTCTCGAGCTGCGCAGCTGCTGGTTGAAACAACATTTGCTCGGGCGCGGGCTAGAGTCAGGCGCTAGCTTCCAGAGCGCACGCGGCAGCGTGCAGGGGCCGACGTCGAGGCGAACAAAAGAACGAACGCCATGGGCCACGAGAGACCGACCCACGGCGGGCGGAGCCGACGAGCTTCGAGGCTGCGGAGTGCAGCGCAGGAAGGCAAGCGGCACGCCGTGCGGCAGCGCCTGTAACAGATCTTCGCAAGCCCGCCCTCTCACACTCATTACTTACACACCACTCCACCCACCTCCTCCTCCTCCTCCCTCCCTCCCTCCCTCCCTCCCTCCCTCCCTCCCCCCCCTCCCTCCTCCTCCTCCTCCTCCTCCTCCTCCTCCCCCTTCTTCTCAGACTCAAGACTCAAGACCCATGGAATCCACATCATTACAAAAAGTTGGACAGGTATCCGACATGGACTCCTATCAGAAATCACTCGGGATTCTGGGAAGGTTAGTTACGCAACCGACGCAAGGCGATTCGAGGCCAGCTGCTCACCGCACGAGGGCGGCACTGGCCTGGCTGGCGACCCCAAGAGGCACCAAACCCCCACATAGGGGCCAGCACTCTCGGCACAGGTCTGAAAGTTAAGTTCCCTTCCCACCCCCCCCCCCACCGTCCCCCCCCGCCCACCACGCCCCTTCTTTCCCTTGCCCTTAGCCTGGCTCCTATGTCCTCCTGTCCTCCTCCTCCTCCTCCTCCTCCTCCTCCTCCTCCTCCTCCCACATCTACAAGCTACCCCTTTCCACGGAACTCCCTCCTACAATCATCGGCGAGGAAGTCGGGAGGACGGAAGCTGCAGCTCCGCTGGAGCCGCTCGCCTGGCAAGTGCAGCAACTGCACCGCCTGCGCGGGGACCCCGATAATTGATATCATTGGCCCTCAGGCTGCGTCGGGCCTCCAATCGGATGCGCCCCTCGGACTGAGACGGCGCACTTTGCCAAGCCAACACGTTTGCCCAATTATACAACTGGAAATCCGGGCTGGGGCAGAAAAAATGCAACTCATCAGAGATCTTAATTCATGGATGATCACGAGACGTCCAATAGATAGTGTATACTCACGCGTGACAACTCGAACTGGAACAATATAGCTCGGCCCAATTCGAATCCAACGTAGGTTCCGTTGTTGTCGCCCCACTTCGTTGACGAGGCTGGCTGATGCGTGAAATGAGATGCTTGACAAAAATTGAGCAAAAGGTGGGGCATGCCTATGCATGATCGGAAAATGTTGGACCCACAGAGCAGATACGATGGCATGTGCTCAGGCAGCTCTGCGCACCACCAGGAAGAGGATCACGTGGCTGCCGTGTGAGCCCGAGCGGCAACCTCGCGGACGGGCATGCGGACCGTCGGCGCCAAGCCTGCGCGCAGACGCGGGTGCCCATCATGAGGAGGGGGCGCCCCTCGGTGGAGCTGAGCCGGGCCGCGAGAAGCAGGCGTGGGCCTTGGCCTTCCGGGCAGTCGACCGGGCCGCGGGGTTCATGGTCAGCAGGGAGCGGACCAGGTCCATCCCGGCATCGCCGAGCTCTGGGCGCTGGTCGCGTATCGTCTTGAGGCCGGAGGGCGGCCAGCTCGGGTACAGGGGGCTCCAGAGCGGCAGGCTGGTCTCGAAGCCTGGCCAGGTGGCCTCCGTGGGGGAGCCCAGCAGCTGCATGATCTTGAAGAGTGTGCCAATCTCGGAGTCCCCGGGGAATGTCGGGCAGCCAGTGGCGATCTCGGCAAGGACGCACCCCGCAGACCACATGTCCACCGGCAGGTCGTAGGTGGGATGCCCCAGCAGCAACTCTGGGCCACGATACCACAGGGTGACGACCTCCTGGGTGTAGCTCGTGACGGTGAGCGAGGCGAGGCGGGCCATGCCAAAGTCGAGATCGAGGCGAGGCGGGCCATGCCAAAGTCGCAGATCTTGAGGCCGTCCACGGGGTGGATGAGAACGTTCTGCGGCTTGAGGTCACGATGGATCACCATGCGCGTGTGGCACGCGTGGATCCCGTTGAGGAGATCTTGTGAATACCGCACGACCTTCTCCATGGGCAGCTGGGTGCCCTCCCTCCGGTAGCCCTTCAAAACCTGGTGCAGGTCGTCCTTGATGTACTCGAAGATCAGCTCGATCCCGTTGAGGCCGACGATCTGCAGATCCTTGAGCCGCACGATGTTCGGGTGGACGAGATCGCGCAGCAGCGACACCTCGCGGATGACGCTCCCGGGCACGCCGTCCTGGCCAACGCTGACCATCAATCGCTTGAGCGCCACCCTGCCGCCGGTCTCGCGGTCCCTCGCCATGAAAACCGCCCCGAAGGCCCCAGAGCCGAGCACGCGCACGGCCTCGTACCTCTGGAGGGGCCCTGGGACACACAAATAAATCCACACAAATAAAAGGATTCCCCACATTTTCATGTCTTTTCTGAGTTCTTGTCCCCCCCCCCCACTTCCCATATTTCCCCGCATTTTCCTGGGAGTGGACGATTCATTGTGTCTGTGTGTTTTTTCCCCCTCCTGAACCTCGTGGGCACCGAGGCGTCCGCCCCGCCCGGCCCGCGCGTGCCGGGCCGCGGCCCTGGCGCAGGCCTCCCCGCAGCCGCGCCGCGCGCCCCCGCGGCGCCAGCGGGCCCCGCCTCGCCGGCGGCGGCGCTGCCCGCGGGGGCGGCGCCACTCGTGTCCGCCGCGGTCGGCATGGCAGAGGCGTCCCCTGCGCAGAGCATGGGGCGTGCCGGGGGCGTCGTGTCCAAGCGGGCCGGAGCGAGCGTGGCCGGGCCAAGGAGCAGTTCGAGCAGGATTTGAGCCAGAAGACCTTGGGCGGCGCAGACTCAGAGCACCATGCATCTTGACGTATTGGAAGAGGGCCGCAGAAGACCTCGGCGAGACATCCGCATTCTGGACGTCGCCCGTCGCTGTCCTCCCTGTCTCAGCTCATCGTGCCTCTGCCACCTCCTTCGCCCCGCTTCTCTCCGTCCTCCTCGTGGGACCCCGGGAGGCACGAGCTGCCCGAGGCGGAGGGGCGTCCTCCTTGCGCACGACAGCACGGCTGCCCCGCGCACCCACAGCGCAAACGCCCGATAACCCCGATCGGGGATCTCCTGACCCGGGTCAACCCAGACCTGGGTCAGCCAGGGCTTGCAGAATCCGGCACAATCCTGCAAGACCCTGCGCCCAAACCCGGGTCAATGCGAAGGATCCTGCAAGATCCTGCAGGATCCTGCACCCAAGCCCGGGTCAATGGGGGCCTGGCCCTGCAGGATCCCGCAGGATCTGGTGCCCTGGCTGACCCCCGTCTGCACTGAGCCCCGTCTCGAGGCTCCCGACCCGAGCCTTCACCGACTTCTGCGCAGATGCCCTGAGCCGTGTTTGTTGACGTCGGGCGGCCCTGACTCACCACGCGGTGCTGTGACCGCGCCAAGGCCCCCGAGCTGCCAACGAGCAGCGGTGAGTGGAGACCTTCTTTTTCCAGCGAATTCAAGCGCTCAGTTCCTAACTATACAGCAGTGTTCATCAGCATATACCCAGGCGCGTTGAAGAGAGCCGCCGCCAAGATATTGGGACAGCCTTCAAAGGGCCCTGGCCTCATGCTGGGCTTCTGTCGGACATCACATATACGAAGGAGGATAAGGGGAGGAGGGGTGGGGGAGGCGGAGACGAGGACGAGACCGAAGACGAGGGAGTGGAGGGAATTCTCGAGCTGCGCAGCTGCTGGTTGAAACAACATTTGCTCGGGCGCGGGCTAGAGTCAGGCGCTAGCTTCCAGAGCGCACGCGGCAGCGTGCAGGGACCGACGTCGAGGCGAACAAAAGAACGAACGCCATGGGCCACGAGAGACCGACCCACGGCGGGCGGAGCCGACGAGCTTCGAGGCTGCGGAGTGCAGCGCAGGAAGGCAAGCGGCACGCCGTGCGGCAGCGCCTGTAACAGATCTTCGCAAGCCCGCCCTCTCACACTCATTACTTACACACCACTCCACCCACCTCCCTCCCTCCCTCCTCCCTCCCTCCCTCCCTCCCTCCCTCCCTCCCTCCCTCCCCTCCCCTCCTCCTCCTCCTCCTCCTCCTCCTCCCCCTTCTTCTCAGACTCAAGACTCAAGACCCATGGAATCCACATCATTACAAAAAGTTGGACAGGTATCCGACATGGACTCCTATCAGAAATCACTCGGGATTCTGGGAAGGTTAGTTACGCAACCGACGCAAGGCGATTCGAGGCCAGCTGCTCACCGCACGAGGGCGGCACTGGCCTGGCTGGCGACCCCAAGAGGCACCAACCCCCCACATAGGGGCCAGCACTCTCGGCACAGGTCTGAAAGTTAAGTTCCCTTCCCACCACCACCCCCACCGTCCGCCCCCCGCCCACCACGCCCCTTCTTTCCCTTGCCCTTAGCCTGGCTCCTATGTCCTCCTGTCCTCCTCCTCCTCCTCCTCCTCCTCCTCCTCCTCCTCCACCCACATCTACAAGCTACCCCTTCCCACGGAACTCCCTCCTACAATCATCGGCGAGGAAGTCGGGAGGACGGAAGCTGCAGCTCCGCTGGAGCCGCTCGCCTGGCAAGTGCAGCAACTGCACCGCCTGCGCGGGGACCCCGATAATTGATATCATTGGCCCTCAGGCTGCGTCGGGCCTCCAATCGGATGCGCCCCTCGGACTGAGACGGCGCACTTTGCCAAGCCAACACGTTTGCCCAATTATACAACTGGAAATCCGGGCTGGGGCAGAAAAAATGCAACTCATCAGAGATCTTAATTCATGGATGATCACGAGACGTCCAATAGATAGTGTATACTCACGCGTGACAACTCGAACTGGAACAATATAGCTCGGCCCAATTCGAATCCAACGTAGGTTCCGTTGTTGTCGCCCCACTTCGTTGACGAGGCTGGCTGATGCGTGAAATGAGATGCTTGACAAAAATTGAGCAAAAGGTGGGGCATGCCTATGCATGATCGGAAAATGTTGGACCCACAGAGCAGATACGATGGCATGTGCTCAGGCAGCTCTGCACACCACCAGGAAGAGGATCACGTGGCTGCCGTGTGAGCCCGAGCGGCAACCTCGCGGACGGGCATGCGGACCGTCGGCGCCAAGCCTGCGCGCAGACGCGGGTGCCCATCATGAGGAGGGGGCGCCCCTCGGTGGAGCTGAGCCGGGCCGCGAGAAGCAGGCGTGGGCCTTGGCCTTCCGGGCGGTCGACCGGGCCGCGGGGTTCATGGTCAGCAGGGAGCGGACCAGGTCCATCCCGGCATCGCCGAGCTCTGGGCGCTGGTCGCGTATCGTCTTGAGGCCGGAGGGCGGCCAGCTCGGGTACAGGGGGCTCCAGAGCGGCAGGCTGGTCTCGAAGCCTGGCCAGGTGGCCTCCGTGGGGGAGCCCAGCAGCTGCATGATCTTGAAGAGTGTGCCAATCTCGGAGTCCCCGGGGAATGTCGGGCAGCCAGTGGCGATCTCGGCAAGGACGCACCCCGCAGACCACATGTCCACCGGCAGGTCGTAGGTGGGATGCCCCAGCAGCAACTCTGGGCCACGATACCACAGGGTGACGACCTCCTGGGTGTAGCTCGTGACGGTGAGCGAGGCGAGGCGGGCCATGCCAAAGTCGCAGATCTTGAGGCCGTCCACGGGGTGGATGAGAACGTTCTGCGGCTTGAGGTCACGATGGATCACCATGCGCGTGTGGCACGCGTGGATCCCGTTGAGGAGATCTTGTGAATACCGCACGACCTTCTCCATGGGCAGCTGGGTGCCCTCCCTCCGGTAGCCCTTCAAAACCTGGTGCAGGTCGTCCTTGATGTACTCGAAGATCAGCTCGATCCCGTTGAGGCCGACGATCTGCAGATCCTTGAGCCGCACGATGTTCGGGTGGACGAGATCGCGCAGCAGCGACACCTCGCGGATGACGCTCCCGGGCACGCCGTCCTGGCCAGCGCTGACCATCAATCGCTTGAGCGCCACCCTGCCGCCGGTCTCGCGGTCCCTCGCCATGAAGACCGTCCCGAAGGCCCCAGAGCCGAGCACGTGCACGGCCTCGTACCTCTGAAGGGGCCCTGGGACACACAAATAAATCCACACAAATAAAAGGATTCCCCACATTTTCATGTCTTTTCTGAGTTCTTGTCTCCCCCCCCCACTTCCCATATTTTCCTACATTTTCCTGGGAGTGGACGATTCATTGTGTCTGTGTGTTTTTTCCCCCTCCTGAACCTCGTGGGCACCGAGGCGTCCGCCCCGCCCGGCCCGCGCGTGCCGGGCCGCGGCCCTGGCGCAGGCCTCCCCGCAGCCGCGCCGCGCGCCCCCGCGGCGCCAGCGGGCCCCGCCTCGCCGGCGGCGGCGCTGCCCGCGGGGGCGGCGCCACTCGTGTCCGCCGCGGTCGGCATGGCAGAGGCGTCCCCTGCGCAGAGCATGGGGCGTGCCGGGGGCGTCGTGTCCAAGCGGGCCGGAGCGAGCGTGGCCGGGCCAAGGAGCAGTTCGAGCAGGATTTGAGCCAGAAGACCTTGGGCGGCGCAGACTCAGAGCACCATGCATCTTGACGTATTGGAAGAGGGCCGCAGAAGACCTCGGCGAGACATCCGCATTCTGGACGTCGCCCGTCACTGTCCTCCCTGTCTCAGCTCATCGTGCCTCTGCCACCTCCTTCGCCCCGCTTCTCTCCGTCCTCCTCGTGGGACCCCGGGAGGCACGAGCTGCCCGAGGCGGAGGGGCGTCCTCCTTGCGCACGACAGCACGGCTGCCCCGCGCACCCACAGCGCAAACGCCCGAAAACCCCGATCGGGGATCTCCTGACCCGGGTCAACCCAGACCTGGGTCAGCCAGGGCTTGCAGAATCCTGCAAAATCCTGCAAGACCCTGCACCCAAACCCGGGTCAATGCGAAGGATCCTGCAAGATCCTGCAGGATCCTGCACCCAAACCCGGGTCAATGGGAGCCTGGCCCTGCAGGATCCTGCAGGATCTGGTGCCCTGGCTGACCCCCGTCTGCACTGACCCCCGTCTCGAGGCTCCCGACCCGAGCCTTCACCGACCGCACCGGTCAAACTCCGAAGTGTTTGGTGTCCGGGCCATGGCTCGGGTCTCGGGCGGCCGTTCGTCGGAGGCGACGGCAAGGGGCGAATAGCCCAGGGAAAAACAGAACATGTACGGCAGGTTCGTGTCGTGCCGACCCCAGCGTTGGTTTTTGACACCGCAGGGATCGTTCAACCTTGAACGATCGGCCGCTGCCGCAACGTCCGATCGTTCAACATCGACCGATTCTGGGTCGATGGCGGCGTTCAACCTTGAACGCCCGCGCTGGGGTCGCCGCTGGTCGACACGACGCAAACCTACCGTATTCAGGTGCGCCGATGACGTATGTCTTCGAAAAGGCTTCTGGGCGAATGCGTGTAATGCCCGCCACTGGGCTACTTGGATGCCTTCGGGACTCGCCAGCCCCCATCGCAAGTGTTCAACCTAGATGTCAATAGATGCAACTACTTAACATCGAAGAAAGCTAAGTGGATGTGAGTAGTTAGCTACGTACTTGTAAGTACTTGGCCAAATAGTTAGCTAAGTGAAGTTAAATACTTGCACGTACGTATCTACGTAATTAGCTAAGTATACAGAGGTAGCCCAAACACACATGGTGTGTTCAATAACGTCGTATTACTCTACTGACAATACATTTATGCTGAACGAGCAAAACACCATCTGGATCATCTTGAACCAGGTATGTTGATGATGTGAACTGCCCTTCGTGCGATTCGCGCTGTTCGCGCGGCCATATATATATATATATATATATATATATATATATATATAATATGGCTCTCGGCTTGACCTTGCGTGCATGTTCGGATCCTCGAGCTTGAATGTTAGGATCCTCGCGCGGATGGAGAGCGGGTCGTTTTCAACACCTGGCTCTCGCCTGAGACGTGCTTTGCATGTGTTACCGTAGTCATCGAGCATATCCATCAAAAGCGCGGATCAACCTCTGGTGGTTTTCGCAATCTGGCTATCTTGTTGAAGAAATCTCTGACGCTCAATGACCCTCATGACACATCCTGATCTTATTGAGGGCGGTTGATGTTCTAAATCTAAGTCGCGCTCGAAACATCCGCACGCTTAACATCTCGAATGCTCGAACATCTGCACTGGTGACGAACGGCTCATGTCCGAAATCGTGCTGTCGCCTGATGCCCTTTCGTTTCATGAGCACGGGGCTGAAGGTCGGGAACTTTTGCGTACGGTGTCGCGCTGGTGACCCTGGCGACGCGCTCTCCCCTGCAAGCGGATAAACGGGTCGTTCCGCTCCGCGGGGCGGGAGGCCGAGAAAGGCTCTGGACGTGGTCTCTCGGGACTGGGAAGTGGTTATCGTGTCGCGGCGAGGCTTGGCGGGCCCGAACCGGCGGCGCGACACGCCACGCAACCGCGCCTGACCGTAAACTTCCAACAGCCGCGAGGACGGATGCTGGCTCCTCCTTCACATGGTAAGGGGCAACCATACCCCCAAGACGAGGTGTGTACCCCCAGTGAGGTGTCACAGCGGCCACGCGTCCAGCCACGGTGGACGCCAAAACGCAACCGTTGGGCGCCCCGAGGTGGGCCCTGAGGCCCCCTCCAGGTTACGTCTGTTCTGGGGTTACCTTAGGCTTTCCCTGCTCAACATCGTAGTTGCGCCTTGGCGCCACGACCGCCTCTCGTAATAACTCTCACGAGCCACCACAGCGGAGGGCGCCCCCCTCTCAGGGCTCACTGCGCCCTGTAGCGCAGGGCGGCCCAAACTCGATGCATTCGCTGATGTGCGCCCCGAAGGAGCAATCATCGGGCGCTCGCGGTGCAGGCCATGTGGGGCCTGCGACCGCTTCTGCGGGCGCTCGCCGCTTTCGAAGAGGATCACCTTGTGCCGACTCGGGTCGGGGGGGGGGCCCGTGGGGCTGGAAGCGTGCGGTGCAGCATCACTCTGGCGTGTCCTGGGCTTCCCATTTTGCCCATTCCGCTGCGCGGACCCTGGCAATGTGTGCCGAAGCGTGGGACCGAGAACCAACAGCTTGGGCGACGTGCCCTGATAAGTCTGCAACGGTGCGCAACAGTAAGGCATACCATATGGGTGACGAGGAGTAGAATGAGTAAGAAGATCAACCCGCAAGGGCACAGATAGCATCCTCCTGTTCTCCTTCTGCTCCTCCGCTATTTCCGCTATTTGCCGCGCCTTGAAGGTCAGTGCCTTGCGGCGCCACTCGGCGGCCGAAGCCGCCGCCAGAGGAGAGGGGAGGAAGGCCCGTCCCGCCCAGGCGCGCGGGGCGGCGGAGGAGCGGGGACAGGCCTGGCGACCCTACGAGCAGAAGCGCCAAAGGACCCCGCCAGGAGGACCAAGGGAGAGCCTGCAAGGGCCTGGGGAGGAGAGGGGCGGGGTCCAAGGGCCAAGGCGGCAGTCCGAGGGCTCCCGAGAGAAGGGGGGGGAGGGGCTACACAGGGAAGGAAGGGGGGAGGAGCCTCGGACTGCCTCGAGATGCCGAATTGGGATGTGGCCCGTCGCGCTGCCGCCCAGGATATCCGCCCCTGTCCAGCAGCTTATCCTTGCCTGGGCGGCAGCGCACAGGCGCTGGGACCAGGTGGGCAGAAGGCCCACCTGGTGTGCCTCCCCCTAACCCCTCCAGAGCCAGAAGGCCAACGGTGAAGGATCCCTGGGTCAGGCCTGGATGAGAGAGATATGGGGGTAAGGGGGAGGCACCAAATTACGGTCCCTAGGGGCCCCGTTGTCGCGGCCCCTTCAGGCGCCGTCGGCGGCTCACCGAGCCCCGAGATCCGCGCCCTCTCAGAACTCGCCGTTCTGGTGGTCCTACCCTGGCCCTTGTCGAGGACGGTGTTGGCGACCCACTCCCTCGCCTCGTCGGCGAAGTCGGGGAAGCCCTCCTCCTCGAGGACACGTCGGTAGTCCACGCTCTTGAGGTACCGCCTGATTATGTTGCCCTCGATCTCGTGATACTCGACTCAGTCGTGCTGGTCGAGGTAACTCTGGTTGACTCTGCAGTGACCAACCCCGACGACTCGGCCTCCTCTCTGGGCCACTTCGGTGGTTGTTGGTCTTGTAGTAGAGCGTAGTACTGTCACCCTCGAGCTTGTGGTGCTCGACTCAGTCATGCTGGTCGCAATTGTTGTTGACTCTGCTCTGCCCATCCGTGTGGCCCTCGTACCGGTCATGTATTGGACCCAGGCTCCTGGTACTCGTCTCAGCCGATGAGGTACTTGTCGTGCTGGTTACAGGTCGTTGGGGGTCGGCTTGTTGCTGGTAGGTGGAATAGACTGTGGGCGCACTCAGGCCTCCATGCACCGACTTCAAGTAGGGTTCATGGCGGCCCCACCTCGTCCCGCTATGGCTAGGGGTCACAGTGCCCTCGGTGGGGGCGAACCCCAGGCCCAGTGATTCTTCTGCTGTCGATGAGGAAGGTCAACGCTGCCCTATGCTTCGCCCTTGGGCGCTCGGGAGCTCCGTCTCCGCCATGGGAATGGTGGGGGTGGCGAGCTAGGGCGGACCGCGGGGGCGCGGGCAGTACTCGTCCTGCCCCCCCCCTGCCCCTCACCATCCCCCCTGGTAGGCGCGGGCAGTCCTCGTCCTGCCCCCCCGCCCTTCGAGCCCGTCTCGAAGTTTGATCCTTGCCTCACCAGGGCAGCGTTGACTCGTACTTGGTGCAGTTGGGGTAATCTGGCTGGTACCTCTGAGCCCTGGCTGAACGGCGGCCGTGTCCGTCACTGCTGCAAAACGTGGCGACGTGTGCCTGGGGTGTTCCCTCGCATTCGGGGCTTCCCCAGGACTTGCGCCCTGACGACTTGTGCAAAACTTGGCGACGTAGCCTGAGGTATTCCCTCGCACTCGGGGCTTCCTCAGGACTTGCGTTCTGGTCCTTTCGTACTTGTCGTCAGGGCACTTCGTCGCGATCCGCGTCGTCAGCCTGTGCCCGAACAGCTCCTGTCGAGTTGGTGGTCCTGCCCATTGCCTTATCGGGTCGGTCCTGCAGGGCCCACTCCCTTGCCTCTTCCAACCAGGTCGGTGGGCCCCCCTCGCCTCGCTGGGCCACGATGGTAGTCCTGACCCATCTCCCTGGTCTTGTAACGGTCGAGCGGCTGGAAGAAGTGGGCCACGTCGTCGTCGATGTGCCACCCGTGGACGTCGCTAGGCGACTCGCCAACGCGCCACCTTATCTGCTTCGCCAGTGCGGTCGCGATGGCCTGGCACATCCTGTTCGGGTACTCCTTGGCCGCCGCGGTGCGCCACTGGCCGTCGTCGCTGATGCCTGCCAGCTCCGCGTGGCAGGAGGCCGTGTGAAAGCACCTCCCGCCTCCAGGCAATCTGCGGATTTCTGCTCGGAGGGTTGGTAGGGATACCGCCAGCAGGCTTGTGGACTTCCTCGAACGCGCTCCACAGGTGCACT